GAAAAAATTTGAGCAACAAAATAAAGTCATACTGTAAAAAAAAAAAAAAAAAAAAAAAAGACGAAGTACTTGGCCTGACAAACTGGGTGGGTGGAGCTGAGAAAGGAAAGGCAAGGGAAGTTTTGCTTCATATCCTTTGCCCCTGTAAGATTAGGGTGCACCATTGTATAATCTGGTTCTAGAAGTGAGTTTGTGGAAGGAATGTGGCAGGCTGATAGAAATCTTTGGGTACCTTCTTTCTTAAAATGTCTTTAGTCTTGGGTGGCGCCTGTGGCTCAGTGAGTAGGGCACTGGCCCCATATACCGAGGGTGGTGGGTTCAAACCCAGCCCTGGCCAAACTGCAACAAAAAAATAGCTGGACGTTGTGGCGGGCACCTGTAGTCGCAGCTACTTGGAAGGCTGAGGCAAGAGAATCTCCTAAAGCCCAGGAGTTAGAGGTTGCTGTGAGCTGTGACGGCACAGGACTCTAGCAAGGGTGACAAAGTGAGACTCTGTCTCTTTAAAAAAAAAAAAAAAATATATATATATATACACACACACACACACACACACACTAAAACTTAGGGGATACAGTGAAAATAATACTAAGTGAAATTGATAGCTGCAAATGCATACATAGAAAAAGGACTCAGGTCTCATATGTGGAACAATGGCCCCATATACTAAGGGTGGCGGGTCCAAAAAATTTAAAAAACTAAAAAAAAAAAATCAATAAGGAAAAGATAGTGAAGTCAATTAAAAATAGCCAGGAGGAGGTGGTGGTTGGCACTTCCTTTCGGGGCCATGGTGCCCTGCTGGGGGGTGTGGGGCATTGCTGCTGACTCTCTGTCTCCCTATTTTGGCCAGCAAAAAACTAGAGCTCAGAGGGAGCAGTCTTTCAAAAACCTGCTTCTGGGAACAAAAGTACCAAATCTCAGGCCAGGGCGGTGTAGCATTGAGGTGACCTGTCTGGCAGGAGACAGATGGCAAACAGGCCCTGTTGGGTAGAAGTGGCTCAGAGAGGGGATGACCCCTTAGACCTGCGGTGGCTACCAGGTAATGACTAGATGACCCAGGTTTTAGGTGCCTGGGTGATCAGACAGGAGCAAATTGGGAGTGTGAAGACTGGATTGGCAGAAGTGCCCTAGAAGTCTATGGCCTAGGGCATCGCGTAGGCTTTGAATTGTCATAGGTAAACTAGTCTTTTCCTGCTTGGGATTCTGCCTGATTTTCAGAGTCAGTCTCCTCCCATTTCCTTCTTGCTTATCCTGCTCCAGTATGCTCTCCTAACTTCCACCTGCCCTAACTAGAATGTAAATTTTAGAGGAGCAGTGATTTGTCTTGGTTCACCTCTGGGCCACGCACAGTATCTGGCCTAGAGTTGATGTTTAAATACTTGTTGAATGAAGGACTATTGAGAAAAACTACCAGCCTACTGCCAGTTATTGGTAGCACCACCCCCAGAACTAGACAGATAAAAAAGCAGGTCCAGGCTGGGCCTGGTAGCTTATACTTATTATCCTAGCACTCTGGGAGGCTGAGGCGGGTGGATCACCTGAGCTCAGGAATTTGAGACCAGCCTGAGCAAAGTGAGCCCCTGTCTACTGAAAACAGAAAAAAACTAGCCAACATCGTGGTAGGCGCCTGCAATCCCAGCTACTCGGGAGGCTGAGACAAGAGGATCACTTGAGATCAAGAGTTTGAGGTTGCTGTGAGCTAGGATGCCTTGGTGCTATGATGCTGTGGTAGCAGTCTACCGAAGGCAACAGAATGAAACTGTCTGAAAAAAAAAAGAAAAGACAAAGAAAGCAAGTCCAAAAAAGGAGAAATAGGTAGAAGTAGCAAACCCTACTTCAATCCCTCTGCCAGTGGAAGTTCATCTTGGCTGTTTGTCCTCCTCAGGTTGAACATGTTCTAGACTGTAGGTTGATAGCTAAAGGGGAAATGTCGAGGTGCAGTGCTTTTTAGGACTCAGCATATGCAGGTTTTCATCTTTCCCAAAGATGCTTTCATACTGTAGTAGTCTCAGGTGTAATTTGTCCTTTTGCTTTTGTTGTTTTTAGAGACCAGGGTCTTGTTTTGTCATCCAGGCTAGAGTGCAGTGGCACTATAGCTCACTATAACCTATAAGACTCGAGTGTTCCTCCCATCCCAGCCTCCCACGTAGCTGGGATTACCAGTGCATGCCACCATGCCCAGCTCCATGGTTTGTTTTTTTAAATGACAGAATTGTAAATTGTGGTATATGTACACCATGGAATACTATACAGCCTTAAGAAACATGGAGCCCTTGCCTCCTTCATGTTTACATGGATGGAGCTGGAAAATGTCCTCCTTAGCAAAGTATCTCAAGAATGGAAGAAAAAGTATCCAATGTACTCAACACTATTATGAAACTAATTGTTAGCTATTTTAGGAAAGCTATAATCCAAATGGAGTCCAAGACTACGGGGAAAGCGGGGGCGGGTGGGGAGGATGGGTGAAGAGAATGATATTGTGGGGATCATGCCTATAATTAATTCTATTACGGTACATGTGAATTTGTCTAAAGGTTGAATATAAATGTCTTAACACAACAATTATGAGATAGACATGATGGCTATGTTAGCCAGTTGGATGAGAGTTTTCCAAACTGCATATGGAAGCAACACACTGTATCCTATGATAGAATTAATGTACACAATTATGATCTAATAAAAAATAAATTAAAAAAATAAAAACAAATCAGTTTAAAAGAAAAAAAAATAAATGGCACAATTGCTCAGCCATCTGAATAGGAATCCTTTTATATTTTTATACAAATAGTTTCCTCCCAGTTTTTTATTGTTATCTTATGTCTAACCTGACAAGGAGATTTTTTTATGTAGCATCTTGCCTTTATTAAGTCTCTGAAACAGTGTGTTTATTAATTGGGCTTTCTTGTAAGCTTTATATGACTAAAATAGATTGGAAAAATTCTTATTTTTCAGATGACTGAATTTTCAGATCTGAAATTTTGTGATTCTAATATTTTGTACATTTGTTCAGTCTTCCTAGGAGGGATAATTTACTTGCAACTATAGTGGTTCTTATGTCACTGCCATCTCAGAGAAGACTCTGCCTCTCATAATGTCCTAACACTTCTCTCCTTTTTGTTCATTCCAGCTACCCACTGCTGAAACTCCCCTTGCCAGGAACGGGACCTGTGGAATTCACTACTCCTGTGAAGGATTACTCACCCCCACTTGTGGACTCTGACCGCAAACAAGGAGAACCTAATGAGCAGCCAGAGTGGGTAGGTACTCAGCGTGCTCCTGAGGAGAGCAGGGCAGTTGGTGGAGATTGGCCAAAGCAGGGTTTTAAACAGTGAGTGGGAGGATGGTTAGCTTCTGATTTGTGAATTCATGTACTTGCATGGCTTTAAAGGCACCAGAAATATTTAGCTATGCATTTAATGAACAAACTTTTCTTAAAAGAGACACCAAATGATGTAACAGGCTTTCCAAGAAACACTGGGATCTTCACTTGTCCCAGCTATGACTAGCTAGGCCTGGGTTCATACCCTGGGCTGCTCACATACCATGTGCAGGTTCTGGGTGGTGTTCTGGCAAATAGACAACCTCCTCCTTGCCCCTGGGTGTTGCAGAGAATACCTGAGCATCCCTAGAATGTGCTATCACTAGAGTCCCAACACTATCTAGTATTTTCTTTCTCTCTCTCTCTTTTTTTTTTTTTTTTTTTTTTTGAGACAGAGTCTCACTCTGTCACCCTGAGTAGAGTGCTGTGGCATCATAGCTCACAGCAACCTCAAACTCTTGGGCTCAAGCGATCCTCCTGCCTCAGCCTCCAGAATAACTGGGATTACAGGTACCCACCACAACACCCAGTTTTTGTATTTTTAGTAGAGACAGGGTCTCGCTCTTGCTCAGGCTGATATGGAACTCTAGAGCTCAGGCAGTCCACCTGCCTCACCCTCCCAGAGGGCTAGGATTACGGGCATGATCTCCTGCACTCCGCCCTCTGTCTAGTGGTTTCATTGTGCACCTAATTTTTTCAGATCTGTTAGGTCCTATTTTATCCTCACAATCCACTCAGGTAAGAAGCATAGGTATTTGATCTTTTTTTTTTTTTTTTGACAGGTAAGGAAATTAGGGGCCAGAGTGATTAAATGGCTTAGGTACTTAGTTTACACAGGCTTGGAACTGTAGGTCTCCTGACCCTAGCCCACTGATTCTGGACCATACTGTTCTTGGTTGAGTATCTGTCTCCAGTTGAGGGGCTCCGACATGGGACTTAACTTAATGTAATTCTGCCCTCATTATTTGGAACTCATACAGGCTTGTTGGCGGGCCTGCCAGGTAATGAACAAAGTGCCCTTCTTTCATGTATTGTGCCCTGGCCCCTGGATTGGTGCTGGACTCGAAGAGACTGTTGTTGAAGAGGAAAACCAAAGCCCAGAGAACAGAGCTCGCCTTCTGCTTTCTCTCTGATAGTTATAACACAGTCCTTCCCATTTCCTTTTTGGCTAAAGTAGCAGCTAGAAAACTTGTTGTGAAGTTGAGTATGCCATTGCTGGAAGAGAGGCTGGAAAGAGAGGTATGTGCTGCAGTTATGCGTGGTGTCAGTAGGAAGTACACAAATCTGGCATCATGCAGCTGTGCCTGTGCAGGGCAGAGGGCACATGGTCTGATGTTGGCAAAATTCAGTTCTGTGGCAGAAATCAGTTCTATGACTTCACGTCCCCACTTGGCTTTTGGCTCATTATGGGACATTCTTAGTTAAACCTTTTACCTTATTAACCTAAGGCAGTTTCACCATATAACGGAACTGATGGTTTCGAGATCCCAAGAAGGGAGCCTGTGTGTTTGTGGATGTTTCTTGACTAGGAGGGTTGAGTGGGCCTGATGGTGTAGAATAGATGTTTAATGATAAGGCTATAATGATTGGTTTGTGAACTCTTTGAACTTCTTATTGCTCTTCATTGGTTTGGAATGATGCCGTTAGGTGGGGGTGCAGAATATAACTTGAGGGCTCAGGAATCAGAAGATTGTTTTGTCTTTCTGATTTGAACCCCCATCTTCTGGAGGATTGAGGAGACTTGGGCCTTGGGGCAGCCACCGGCTATCTGGGAGTTCAGTGGTCAGTTATCTCATCTCCATTGACTGTCCTTGGAGAGTTCTTGCCAGACTGCTATACTGGGAATAGAGAGAAATATTTTAGGTATGAGGAACAGAAATCCCAAATTAAGCGAAAAGGGATTTTTTTGGCTCACTTGACTTTTAGCCAGGGACAGGATTGACTTCAACATAACATGGTTTGGGTCTCAACAGGAGTCCATCTCTTGACTTTGTCCTCTCTGCATCAACTCCACTCTCGGTCTTCCTCACAGCAGCTCTGGTAGCTTCAGCCCCATGTTTTTGCAATGTCCAATCCAGTGGAGGCTGAGAGGGATCTTGGGTGGCTCTGAATGGGTTTACTTGCCTATCCCCATTCCATACAATGTGGCCAAGGGTGGGTGTTTCATTGTTGACTTCATCACCTAGCTGTCATCACCTGGCTGAGATGAGACAGGATAGTTTCCAAAGGAAATTTAGGAGGCTTGGGCACCCGAAAGAACATTGCAGGCACCTGTTCTCCACGTGAAGGAACCAAAACTTCCTTCCTTGCTTCACTCATTTCTCTATTTAGCACTTGTTTATTATATGCCATGTCTATGGTGTGCCTGGCAGGATGATGTGATAGAGGCTTACTGTCCTTGAGGAGATCTCACTCTGGTTGGAAAGGGAAGACACAGATTTTTAAGTTTAAAATAAATAAGTAGGGCTGAGTGCAGGGGCTCACGCCTGTAGTCCTAACACTTTGGGAATCTGAGGCAGATGGATCTTCTAAGCTCAGGCATTGCAGACCAGCCTGAGCAAGAGTGACACCCTGTCTCTAAAAAATAGCCAGGTGTCATGGTAAGTGCCTTTAGTCCCAGCTATTTGGGAGGCTGAGGCAAGAGGATCACTTGAACCCAAGAGTTTGAGGTTGCTGAGAGCCATGATACTTTACCCCAGGGCACAGAGTGAGATTTTGTCTCAAAAATAAATAAGTAAAATAAGTATATGTCAAATAGAAATAGAGATCAATTCAAAGAGCTCCCATTGGTCATTGCTAGAGCCATTTTGCAACAAAATAAATCAGTACTAAATTATAACACAAAGTAGAATATAAATACCCATCAGTCTATATGACTGAAAGAATAAATGGGCAACAATAGACAACTATCCTGATCAGAAAATCCTAAGTAATATATTTAACGACTTCTCCCTCAGAGAGGTGAAACATAACTCCTTTATTTTTTTATTTATTTATTTTTTTTTGAGA